GGGGCAAATGATTTAATAGTTGCATGTAAAATTTTCCTAGTTTGTAGGTCTGATAGTGATATAGTTATTTTTTCCCTCTGTACAGACTGAGCAAAATAATGTCATTTTAAAACAGGGGATGGTTTTACTTGTTAGAATAACTTATTTAAAGATATCTGAGGTATTAGATGTCTGTTTATATACGTTTGTTTTTGGATTAAAATAAGAGCTCAATTGAGTCTCTAGAATTTACATATGTTGTAACTTGAAGGTAATTTTCCGATAATGGGATCCATCTGTAATTAATTGTAAAAAATATACCTGACTTTTTTTCTTGCTGGTCCAAGAAAATCGTTGTTAGTAGCAAAGTAACCACTGAAAATGTTCAGGCATTCAATTTGAAGAATTCTTTAAGCAGATATTTTCCTGCAGTGCAAGAGTCTGACTGCCAATGTTCCTTAGAAATAATTTTAAGCAGAGGAAAAGGAAGGGTGAAAAAGAAATATTATTCCTAAATTTTCTTTCTGCCACCCTTTTGGCTTCTGTTGTGAATATTAATGATCGATGTGCTGGCCTTTCTTTATGGAAAAAACCCTGATCACCCCATATTGATTCTTTACCTTTCAATGGAAAAACAAAACATTCAGTAGAGACATAATCATATAATATGTACGACATTTTCGATTTGACCTTAATTTACGACGACAAAGGACAACATACATACAACTTCACAAAAAAAAATATGGTCTTAAAAGGCTTATTAGAGACCTTTAGATTCAAGGATGACTATGAGCACGAGATTTGACTTAAAGTTCTTTCGTGTATTCTCAAAATAGACTCGCTGGAAAGCTTTATTTACCATTTTTAACCACAAAAGTTAGCACTGCACCTTTAGTGAAGGAGGTTTCACTCTCTCCCGATTGCAAAATGATAAACCTTCTAACATTTGATAACTTGTTTCCGCTCCTTCAACATTTTTGCTAGAACTCGTAGTAAAGTGATGACGGCTACCACATTTTCCCGCCAAAATGATGCCAGCTCATGCGCAAGCACTACTTAGTATTGAGAAAATCTCGTACTCGTAGTTGTACTCGTCTTAAAATCTAAAGCTCTCTATTAAAAAATTGTGAAAGTTAGGTGATAACCAGGCCTCAGTTGTTCAAAAGGCAGATAACACTATCCACTGGATAAATCTTTATCCAGTGGATAGTGCAATAGCTTTCCCTAATACTTATCCATGGGATAGTGATTTATCCGGTGAATAATGCTATCCAGCTTTCCAACAATAATATTGAGGCCTCGTACAAGGTCATTATCATTAAGTTTCTCAAACTAAAGCTTGTGTTGAGGCTCAACTGACAAATGCTATCAACAAGATCATTTGAGGTTGGTTGTTTATTACCTGTGAGGGGGGGAAGGGGCTGGTGGGTAGGAGGGGTGGCTCATTTTGCAAAAGCTTAGATTTTTAAAATGACCCCCCCTCCCAATTCATCCTAGAGTTTTAAAAGTTTTTACATAAAGTGAAAGTGACCCCTACCCAATTGCTGTGGAAACTACGAACATTCTAGCTACAGATCCTTCCGAAGTTCGCCACATACTTTGTCTACAACCTTTGTATTTACTATTTACGGCTGTTACAGTCAACTTCAAAGACAATTCCACTCATTATTGCTTGCTGCTACTTTCATGAAATGTATTAAAATGAACCCCCCTTTCTCTCCTCCCTCTGAGGAGAAGGAGAGAAAGGAATCACTTATAAGTTCAATTTATGGAGAGGGAAAATGTCTTCAGTTGTAAAAAAAATTAATGTATTAACTTTTGCGAGGACCACCCTCACTAGCCCAGTAATGGCCAGAGGGTCTCATCTTTCAATCAGTAGCCAATCCCCATTCCAGCGGGTAGCTTGAACAGCAACACATTGTTTAAAGGGTGTGGGAGGGGGGGGGGGAAGCTTTACTTTTCCCTTCGGGAGAAGGTAGTGTCAAAAAATGTTACAGAGAATAGTGTCCCACTCTAAAAAATGAAAGTACAGTTGTGAAATTCATTCAAACTAAAGACTTATGAGCCTGTGATTCTCTTCCTTGTTCCTTAAATCAGCCTTAAAAGATGACAAGATGGTGTGTATGCCTGTCTTGCAATAGAACACAACGAAATGTCCTGAGCCTAGTTGTTCGAAGGCCGATTAGCGCTAACCTGAGTTAAATTTGAATCCCGATTTCTTTTTCTTTTATTAGAAAGCACTTTCCCAGATAATTCTCTCTATTCTTTCAAGTTCATCCAATCATTATTTTAGACAAAAAGAATTCTAAAACTGAAGTTGCTTCATTTTAAGCTTTCAAATCTGGATTCAAATTTCACACTAAACCTGGGTTATCTTAACCCAGATATGAGCATTGAATAACTCGACCCTGTACTCTTGATCACCATGTTTCAAATGAAAATTAAGCCTGTTCCTATCATGGGTGATAGACGGTTTTTTTAAAAGCTGTGGATGCAGGTTATTTCATTCTAGGTATTAATTTCGAGAACGGAGCTCTGGAGCGACGTAGCCAGTTCCAGGCTCCAAGATAGTGATGCAGTCGTGAAGTAAAATTCACGCGGTTTATTTTTGCCGCACCCCTACTCTGTGAGAGCCTGGCACAGGCAAATGAAATGTGCAACAATCAGAAAAGAATCACAATGCTGTAACATAAACCAGTGAAAGTAAATTGAAGGTGCTGGTCTGGATGAGAAAATTGGTGCTCACATTTACATAAGATGGAGAAAAACATTTCGAACTCTATGAAAAAGAAAGAACAACAACAATGCAAAAGTGTATCTTTTCATTAACACTTCTTTTAATGTAAAATATTTTAGGAATGTGGAGGTAGCTGACAAACAGTTTATATTATTATTAATAATAATTAAAGTTGAGTCCAATATCTCATGCAAACAATAAATTAACTTAAGGAAAAATGGGTAAAGAAGTTATGCAAAATTTATAAAAGAACACCTCAAGTATTAATAATATTAGACAGTTCAGTTTTCCATCAAAGATTTAACACCATGTCACCAAAAGTCGATCTCATTAGTACAGACAATTTTGTTGGCTTCATTAATGTTTTAACTTTATGAATAGGTGAGTTAGATTTGACAGACCAGCTAACCTAGATTAACAGCAGCCACATTTCAGTCAGTCGAACAGGATGGACGTTCAAACGTCTGAGGGAGTTTTCGTTTTAATTGAGAAGGATTTAATTTACCGTTAGGTTAAAACATGCACAGAGATAATGTCAAACAGTTAAATGACATGTAGAAATAATTTTGCTCAAGAAAATAGTAACCTTTAGTTTAAATCAATTCCTGACAATTCTGTGCAACTGTATGTGTGTTTGTCTTTCCCATTTCTAAACCAATTGTAGCTTTGAAATAATTTGTCAACTGTGGCCAAAAGAGCACAGTATCACCTGTTCGATTGAAAGAAATGATCAACCTGCAGCCAGAAGAGCATAATGTTGATGTTTACATTCACATAATAACAATTTCCAGCCCAAAAAAAACATTTCGTATCTATCTTTTGATTAAAAAATAACAAAAACAGGTATGTAAATGATTACATGGCCCTTATAAGGAAAGTTGTTTTTACATTTTTTAATCATTGTATTAAGCAGAGCACCTTTTTTTTAAGGGTCATAAAGGGATTCAAGTGGTTTAACAAGCATACTCAAACAGGCAAAAACATTTGAAGTTATACTTGCTCAAACCACCACGAGTTGAAGGCCATTTAAATTTACAGAATAAAAACATTTATACATGATTTTTTGCAATATCCCAAAGGAATCCAAATTATAACTAACTTGAACACCTTTAAGTAACTTAAAAACTTCAACTAAAAGTAGGCAGCAATTCAATTTCTTGCTGTCAACTTTACCTTAAAATGCTTTTTTCCCTCAGTGCTGACTCTCCTTTTACTTTATGTTAAATATAATAACTGAAAGGCTCTTGACGTCTTGGAATTTTTTCTTTAAACTTGGAATTGCTTTAGATTTGGACTGACAACGCATTTTTTGGAACTTACAATGCTGCATTATTTACTTTTTTACAGTACAAACTTTTCATTTCCACAGAATTTTCCTTCGCTTTGCGCATGTGCCTAAAGACATCTAGCTAAGTTTAAACAAGTTATAAAGCACACTAAAAATTACAGACATTACACATTCAACTCAAAGACACAATTCTACAAACAAACTACAAATTCCTTTAAATGCTTTCAGTGAACTAGTACAGAGCTCTAAAAACGATTTCTAACAGCTCCTTTAACAATAACAGTATCAATCTACTTTATCTAAAAATTTGAAAAGATTCTGTTTTACAAATAAATTGAGTTCAGCATAATACATGTACCAAACTAATAGATAGCCACTTTCTGCTTGGCTACTGAAACTAGATATAGTTATTACTCACATCCCAGCATTGTAATAGTCATAGATGTCACTCATAACTCGTTCTTTAGCTGAAATATTGCACTGTTTGATGATAGCTATCCACTAGTCTGGTACAATGCACATACTAAAACCTTAGTATTTGGGTTAGCGATTCTAACCACCATTACACTATCCCCTCCCCACTTCTAATCAGTGAATAATAGTAAATATAAATTTGTTTAATATTTTATTAGAAGAAATTTGAACTGGACTGCATCTGGCCCACATGCACCTATTTTTCCCAACAAACAATCAGTCATTGGATGAACCAACTATTTTTATCAACAGAAACGAGAAAATTTATGTATTAGAGTGTTCCATGAGCAAAACAAGACCGGCAATGTGGCCCCCGAGCATGTACCCATCAAAAATTTAAATAATGGTAATAAATTTCTCATTGAGTGAGTCCAAAATTAAAACATAACGATTCAGTTAGCATAATTATTTCTATGTGTTACAGAATTTCAGAAACCTGAAAAAGTGAGCGTGATTACTGAAGATGTCAACCTTATGTACACATACTATGAGCTTTTACTGTAAATTCAAGTAAAATATTTACTATTCAAATATTCTCTCCATTAACTCCAAAAATCTCTTTGCATAATTCTCTGGTTTTACTGTAGAGATCTCAGCTCCCGCCTACAAAATAAGAGGAGAAAACGATGAAGTACAGCATTCTCACAATATTTAAAATAAGTACGTAGATTGACTGTATGGCAGTGACAAAACACACTACACTGTACTACACTACTATACACTATGCATATTATAATAATTACACACAGTTGCATACAGATGCTGGCATACTAATGCTGACTGAGCCAACTGTCTACTGATTGTTACTAATTCTGTCCAGAAACAACTTGGAAGAGTCAGTGTCTTGTCTTTATGTATTTTTTTTTTCAAAAAACTCTTGTTTTTTTTTTTTACACCAGACGACTTAAAGCAATATTATCCATTCAAAGAATTGTGATATTTAACAAACCGACCCCAAAATTTTCCATGGTCTAACACTCTTATAGACCATAGAAATTATGTCAAAAAATGTTCAAAACTCAAGTGGAACCACGAGCCGCAGCCAAGTGGTTTCACTGCAAAGTTTTGAACATTTTATGACGTCATTTCTATGGTTTATAAGAGTGTAGACCATGGAAAATTGTGGTCGATTTGTTTTTTTTATTTATTTTTTTTACCAAAAACAAAACAACCGGCACTAGGTGTCACGTCACATGTCACATGTCACGTGTCACATGTCACATGTCACGTCATTCCCATGGTCTATACTCTCATAGACCTTAGCTCTCGACCAATCAGCGCTCAAGGATTTACTCAGTTATTGTAAAATTCAATCTGACTGAATACTGGGAAGTTGTGGAGCTGAGGCAATGACTAATAGATTCATTTTTTTCAAAATTTTGGCGGGGGGAGTATGCTTGACCTGGTGTGACTAAATAAATTATAGTTATTTATCTTCCTATTGTTCTTGGGTATGGTCATGTTCATTGTATCATGATAATGGGATTTCAAGAACTAAAGGGAAAAAATTAACCAAGTATGAAAATTGAACCACAAGAGACAAAAAGAGTGGACAAGAACTGGACCACTAATGCACAATGTCAGTAACATTAAGAAATCATTTATCTTTGTGCCTATACAAATTAAAGATATTATACAGATGGAATATTGAAAAGCTAACACTACATCATCATTTTATTTATTAAATCTGATTATCACTGGATTAAAATGAAATTTAGTGTAGTTATGCCATTAAGTGCTGAACTCAGAATTTTAATTCTGTAATTGAATAGTTTTATTGAATAGTTTTTGTTCATAGACAGGTGGAACAGTAAAAGTTAAATGTGTTACTGAGTATACCATGAAAAGAATCCTTAAGCAAAGGAAAGAGTGAAGAATTAAGTGTACTGTCAATAAAGGTGCAAAGAAGTTATTAAAGTTAGTAAAATTTGGAAAGACATCAAGTTACCCAAGGAGATGTTAGCCTGGCCAAGTTTTCACGATGCTCTTGATTTGCCGCTGTTTGCCTGACGCTCACAACCCGCCACTGAACTGCGGCAATCTAAGGCATGGAATGTCATTGATCATGACACTGGCTTGAACCCAGCAAATAAAAACATCATTCAAAGGGCCATTTGAAAAAAATAGCCTGCATTTTGTGTCAATATTATCTTAACGTTTAGAAGCTGTTTACTTGCCAAAAGAAGAGTGTTATACAACCTAGTTACTTAACTTAAAGATTAAATAAAACAAGTTTAAGTGTTTAGAGTGGTTTTCGTTTGAGTGTCGTAAAACCAAAACCAAAGTAATTACTCTGGCCAATCACATAGGACACAGACAATACATTGAACCAATCAAAACTCGAAGTAATTACATGCGGCTGACGCAAAGCGCGGGAAAATGCATGCGAGCGCGTCACAATTGGCTTTGGTCTTACTTCTGATTGGATGAAAAAGTGGCGCGAACCTTTTAAGCCAATCGCATCGTGTAGAAAGTGCAAAACCAATTACTTTTCGACACTCAAATGAAAACCGCTCTAAAACAATAATTTAGAATTTAATGCCATCATTTTATCCCTCTCAATTTCTTTCTGCAATGGTTTATTTTGCATTAACTAATAGTTGTTACTTCAAGTATTTTTTATTAGAGAACTACATTGTCATAACAAATATGAGCAAACATAAAAGGCTTCAAAATTATGCAGCACTTTTTAGAGTAAGTACTGCAATAATAAACCTGGCACGTTGTTCAAATAAATACTATAAAGCCAAATGCTCTTGCAGTAAGTTCCAACCTAATATACCAATGTCCTCTTATTCTTCTGATACATGATTTTGTCTCATCAACGAAAATTTTAAAATGTTTTGGTATACGTTTTCACTTAAATGCAGTAACACAACAGCACCAAAAATCCATTGTGGCAGCACCACAACACATGTTCCACCTTCACGTGGAAGCTGCAAACAACAACCAGCTAACCTCAACCCACATTTCATTGTCAGAGATAACCTGCGTCACAGACAATACTACCTCTGGTTAAGTCCGTCTGGGAAAAAGTGCCAATATCCTTGTTCCAGGGTTGTACCAGGATTTGAGTATGGGCCATGGTGGCCCCGGTTTGCCAATCAGGATAAAAGAAAATTCGAAATGCACTTCTGGTAATTTGTTGAGTCTGTTGAGGGCCCAGAACAAAGATAACGGCACTGCTTTGCAGACATTACTAACCAAGGTTAAATTCCATCTGTGACACAGGCTAGGTCAGAGATAGATAAGTATCTAAAGTTTTTAATGTGTTAGTTAACACTGAAATATCAGTACACGAGGTTAATCAGTGAGCTTTATCAACTTGTAACAACTATCACTCACCCCGTGTTTGACTGTTTTTGCGGCATGAGCTGCCTTTTTTCCTGCACCATAAAACGTCAGCACATCTATTATTCCAAGATAATATAACTCTCGTCTGTTCTCTGGAAAATAATGAGTTCAGTCAACACTATTCCAACTTGATAAATAGACTTTATCCCATTAACCAGGGTGGCGAAGGGGTTTTCCACGACGTGAACGGGTTCCAAATTATCACCATGATGCGTTAATGGGCTAAAATTAGTTGCTTGAGGCGTGATTAGGCATAGCAGCGTGGTGGGTAAATTACTATATTTTCGAGTGAAACACAACGGCAATACACAAGCCTCATAGGGAGCTTAGGGCACAATGACGGCAATGGCTACGAAAACATCATTTGAAAAGTGAATTTGGGCTGCTTCAAACTTTACTGCGCTTATTCCATCTTGTTTAAGGTGGCTGAACACAGTTTTGTGGGTGGTCAGGGGTAACTAAAGTGACGGCATGTGTTTTAAATTAGACAAACAAACATTTCAAAGCAACCTTTCTCTTGCCATGATTTGGTAAATGACATATACTCACAAACTGCCAAAACCGTGTTCAGCGACCTTAATTCTTCAAAATATGTTGGAAATTTTTTCTGGAAAAAAAAAAACTTTATTGAAGTTTAAGAAGAGAAAACGAAAGTGATTGTCTACTGGTCACATCCTCTACAAAATGTGAAATTAGGCATTTTCACATCATAGTTGTGCAGTGATGGCAAAGAAATGTACAAGAAAGCATGGTATACATGTAAAGTTATTGTTTTGCCTATCTAAACCTATTGCTTTTTTGACATTCTCGTTGATGTTGCCATCATCATTGCTTAAGCTCCCTGGTAACAGACCCTTCCACGGTTTAATCAACTATTGACTGGGGCCGGTAAGCGGAAATCTTTCGCTGAAAACTAACGGAGATATAGCTCCACAAAGTTGTGAAAAAATTGAAAGAAATAAATAACTCACCATCCACACTAATAAATCCTTCTGTATCATCTCCATCCTCTTCATCAAGTTCAACACTGCCAAAACTAATATTCCTCTCTCGTGCACCATTAACATTAGCGGGAGGAGTGGTGGGCGGAGTTTCTGTGAGCATATCACCCTCGGTAGGAGAGTCAGATTCCGGAGGGGAGTCTGCCTCGCGGGGAGACTCCGGATCACTGTCGTCATTACTTTCAAGGCCAAGGATGTCAACAACATCATCTCCAGACTCTGCAAGGTCCATATCATGGATACCTACTAGCAGGCTATAGTCCATTATGTTTAAACTTGTCAAAAACTGTAGAATCAAATGATTACAGCAGTACAGGTCAGAGATGACTGTGCACCTATATGTACATATAAACTTGAACAATTGACCACTCCAGAAAATACCACAACATACCATAATGCTCTTTGTTTGTCACCCCAAAATTTGGCATAAGCATTGCTTTCAGTTTCTCTTGGGGCCATTTTAACTCCCACGAGAAACTGAAGACAATGCTTATGCCAAATTTTGGGGTGACAAACAAAGAGCAGGTATGTTGTGGTATATCTCAAGTGATCAATAATGTACACTGTATACCAAATGGCATGGCTACATTAAAGCCTACCAAGACACTTAAAAACTTCAGAAAGATCAGTTTATGTGAGATGTTTTTACTCCCGGTTATTCAAATGTTGGACAGTGGTATCACTGTGCATTATCCCGATCTATCTCTATTGTATGTGACGTAGGTCACCTTTCGTAATTAGTTGCAAAACTGCTTGACCCCGTAACTGAGATGATACTACAATGAAGGGTTTTCTTGTTTGTTTTCTCTTACGAGTCCCCAGTTCAGATGCTGTTGCCTGTACAAAAGGACGGCTATCTTCACAACTAAATCAAGTGACATCGGAGTAAGCTGACAATTGCTGCTTGCTAGTCCTCTTTCAAGAAACAAATAAAATTGATAAGGAAACAGTCTGCATGTATTTAAAAAAGGATTGAAACGAAAATCAGAAACAAAATTGATACAAGTTGTACAAGATTGAATGTGGTTTGACACATTGGATGGTAAATAAACACGTCTATCTACATGAACAAATGCTTTAAAAACTTACCTCAACGTCATCCTTAATTCTTTGAAGCACATCCTTCTTGACTTCATCACCAATATGAATCTTTGCATTGTCTTTTGTAAAATCATTGTCCTTCAAAGTAGGATTTTCCTTCGTCTAAAAATGTTACAAGAATGCAAGCATTCAGTGCATAACTCACAAAAATGAAACACACATTGTATTTTTTAAAATTAAATGATAGCAGTTAATTCCAACCAATCTTCGTTTATTGTTTTAATGTAAATGCACAAAACAGGCAAGATGTATAAGGCAATCAAGAATATTGACAACCAAAATAAAACTACATATACAGTGTGTACATGTACATATTTTGCTTTATTGAACGGGGTGAAGGAACAAACAGCTGTTCACAAAATTCAAGACACTGAATTTTTCTTTCAACTACAGAATGGTTAGAATGTCTGTACGAATACTCAAAGATAGGCTTTTTGAAACATTATTACTACAATCAGCAACTACATAATAATGGAGACAATATTGCTAAATGGGACACTTTGGAGAACAGAACAATCCACACTGCTTCCCCTCCCCTCCATTCAAAGTTGGGGTGTTTGTTGTTTCTTACAAGTAGCTTAAACGGTGGCATAAAATTGCATGGAGGAGGTGGGGGAGCAAAAGCTGAATTTTTCTTGTTTCTGTTTCAAAACAATTAGACATAAACAGACATACATGTATTTCCAGCACCATATACTTGTAACTTCGGAACTTCAAAGCATTTACATGTGCACGTAATTTGATGCTTCAAAAGACAATGCAATACTGACACAGAAACTGGACAAGGACTTATCAAGAAACTAGAGGTTATTTCAAGGAATTTTTCCATGGATAAACAATGACCAGTGGTTGAGTGTGACCCTAAAGAATTTATGAGAAAGGTGCAATACATGTATCTCAAAGCAGTTTGTGAGTCTTAAAGTGCAATAATATCAAACCTTCTCTTTGCTGCTCGCTTGCCTGTCCACTGTGGAGCCTTTTAAGTCATACTTTTTATGAATCTTGAACTTAGTACTAAACACACTCTTCATAACTAGAAGGTAAGTTTCCTTGTTGTCTACTGTAATCCGATACACACCCAAGTACTGAGGTAGAAGCGTCTTCGCATGTTTTTCAACAATATACTGGGAAAAAAATGAATACGCAAAGTTTGGTATCCTAAAAAGAATTAATCTATGACAATCATCCCTCTCTGTCAAGGCCAGGGGTCAATTTAATAAAACTTTTACAAGAGTAATTTAGCGTAGCTGACAGACGACCAATAACAACCAGACATAATTGACCAATCAGATCAATAACCAGAGTATCATACCATCAACTGAAGTGATACAACTCACTTTGACTCTGAAGATTACTACCGCACAGGTCGTTGCAACGTCAGTCAAAGTCAACAACAACAGTCCTATTCAGGACTACGTTCACCCGGATGATCAAACTCAACCTACTTTTGAAATGACTTCTAGGTTAACACCTTTCATGGTAGCTACTATATTGTTTTCAGACTGTAAGGGCTATATACTTGTGAACTACACTTGTAAAAGTTTTATTAAATTGACCTCAGGGTAAACTTGGACACATTGTAAAAGTCCTTTCTGGTGTTGAAAATTTCCAGGAACAAAACTCAGCTGAACTGAAATGATGACGGTTGAGCTTTTACTGAGGTACAAAACAATGAGACATTATCTTTGAGTTGCTGAGATGATCAAATCCATATAAACAAAACTTTAAGACTGATGCTGGTCCAAATTGCTGTGAGACCAAGATTCAGAGGCTATGCAGAGAGTTTACGACTCTTATAGTAGTTTCAATGAGATCAGAGTTCAAGGCTCTTACGGCAGATCTTCTCACCTTATTTTCAGCCTGCAAAATGGAAAATAACGTAACACAACTTACATGGTGATACTGTGGAAGTATATTGTGCAGTCTCTCGATATCTTCACTTTCTATGGTTTTGACATAAAACTTCTTGTTTTTGGAAATAAAAAACCTTGCCCCACTGCGACCAGGAGATGGAGTCATAACTGGGGAAGACTGGAAAGCTGCCTGCAAATCAAACATGTAACATTCAAAAATATTTAGTCTTAAAAAGGCCTGTGAAAGATGTACATTCATTACAGGGCCTAAAATTTGCAATTTTCCACTACATGTATGTATCATTGAGACAAGCAGATTTTAAGAGTGACAACCAAATTACAGAGTATGGTTGCCCATTGGACCACAGGTGACCCAAGTGTAATATGAGAGTTTATATGGAAAATAAAGAGCTTGTACCGCAAATAAAATTAATGTCAAGTAAATGAACAAAAATGGAAACTGGGCACCCATTTAAGTTCATTTATTTGAAAGCAAAGTCCTTCCAATGTCCCTTATTTTACAAAACAAAAATGTTGAAATAAAATTGGAGTGGCATAATGACCAGTAAAAAGTTAAATAAGCCTTTTGTAATAGTTCTTCTTGTGATCAACGTCCTGTGTACTTTTTGAAAAAAATGATTTTAGCAGGAACTGAAAGAGCATATAAAAATAAGAAAAACTGCAAACTTTTAGCTCTAAATGCATATCTCAAAAGAGGCAATGGCTGTTGAAAAATAATGATTTCTATAGGAAGAACACCTCTTGCCACCAGGTCACAGGACATCATTAACGTGTAACATTGTAGGAGAATATTTTGAAAGAGGCCCCACGTCTAAATAAAAAATAGTCATAGGCTATGGAGCTTTAGCCAGAGAATTCTGCATAGTAAACAGAGAATTCTCCAATCTCCAATGCCTAATGAACAACCTGAGAATATCTATTCAAAGCAATCTTCTGAAAGAATAGACAAGACCTTGACAACAAATGCCTTTCACAAGAAAATTAATCTTGGCCTTTACATTCTCAAGGTCATGCACACACTTGCTGTTGACTTGCATGTGTGTATGAAAAAACAAGAATGCGCTTACAGCATCATTCAGTCTCACTTCCTTGGAGATTAGATCAAGAAATGAGGAGGCGATTAATTCTACACAAAACAGGATTTACTCACTAAAGGTTTTTTTACTTCCTACTTTATCGACATCAATACTTTAGAAACAACTGGAAATACGTCTGCGGTCACAGGCTATATGTGTGTATAAATACACAAAAATTCATGGGCCTCAATTCCAGAGAAATTACATCATTGCAAGAGATCAAAAATTAAAGTGATTTACATGGCATGTCATTTCAATCATCGCTAAATATAAACTGCATGCTCATCACCAGACCATTTGCATACAATGAAAGTTTTCAACACCCGACCATCTCAGTTTTGCTAATTAAGATTCTTACCTTCTTTTTTCCACTACTCAGTAGTGTTCCCTTGCTCCAAAGTAATCAACACTTTCAACTGATAGAATTGGTGGACCGACACGTTTCGGAAAAGCTCTAAATTTAATCTTTCCTAATCATGGGGGCATCGATCACGCAATGATCCTTAGTCCCAGTTTCCACAGTCTCCGAAGGAACACCTGGCACAATGACCCCCATTTGTGTATAAAATACACCAAAAACCCCGGGGGTACCTCTAGAAAAATTGGGTGGGGGTGTGCTGCACGCTTCCTGAAACCCTTAACTTATTTCAGACCAAAATCTGTGATTTTCCCCACCCTATTTCAGACCAGAAGCCCTAGAGCCCGGCACGTGACCAGAGTGCACAACAAGCTGTTATGGCACATACATGGTTGGAAATGGTCTTATTGCCAAATGATGAAGAAGTAGCTTCTTCTAAAAAACATACCCAATTCAAGACTAGAGTGCACAAACCATACCCTATTTCAGACCAAAAGGGTCGAAATTGATACCCTATTTCAGGCTAACATGGCTAAAAAACCATACCCTTTTGCGCCACACATGCCTATATAGCCTATATAAGGGAGTACCCCCCACCCCCCCGAGGTGAAAAACGCATTGCAGATTATGAATCTTGCTGCTTACGCAAACAAGACTAATCATTTCAACTTGTGTTAAATGAACATGCATGTAATACAAGCAGCATCTGCACTCACCGCATACTCACTGTCATCAATACCAAAGCGATCTCTAAGTTGCCTGAATACCAAAGGGCAATATTCCTTGAATTTAAAATGGCTTGGGAAATTTTCTCTGTAGACAAAAGAACAACAAATATACTTTTGTAAAGTGAAGGAACTGATTTGTGCAAAGCAACAGCCTGCTTCCTGTTTTTGGGGACTTCCTCTGACCACCCCAACCTTCTCACAAAGCCATTCACATACACTTCTGTATTACAGTGTATCTTTTCTTGTATTCCTATGCTGATACAATGGTGGCTAGTGGTGGTATTTAATGAGCTGCGAATGATCAATTAAAATAAAAAACACACAACATCTGGAAATCCTTAAAATGTGTTTGTATGTTAGTGACATTTTGGTTTCTTCTCAAGGGAGTAGTTGAATAAACATCAAGAAAGCTTATTATGTACGTGTAGCTCAAAATACTGTATGTGTTGGTTAGTGTGGTATGATCCATAGCCTGTGGAAGGGGAACCCCTAAAGAGATAATGGGAAAATTTTATAAGGAGGTTGTGCATTGTCTGGGTGAGTGTACAGTAGTCCAGACCTCAATAGGACTGCAGGGCTCGAATAATTTCCGGAGAGTCTCTGGACACGATGACTGGCCAAATTCATTTTAGCTCGGTCACATATCATTTCTGGCAAGGCAAATTTATAAGGTAAATAACTCTCAAAACAGGGGCCCATTAACCAAAACTGCCATTATATATTTCCAAACAAGTCGTTGCTTAGAGCTTATAGCACTCATTGTCAACAATAAAAATAAATTATTGTACGCATTAAATTTGTCAGCGCCTGGACAAGTCTGGGGTAAAAACATTGTTAACCTCTGACAGTAAGTATTTTATAATCTGACATTTGAGTCCTTATATTTGCCATGTTTTAAAAGAAGGTACATAATTATGTACAGTGTACACCTGATCCACAAAGCTAAAGGCAGTGTTCAATAAAGGGTACATTTTTGAGTCATTGGCACGGAATATTCTATTCTTATGCAAAATGAAATTATTGTCGAGTATAAGGACACCAAAAAAAGTTACCTTACGTATAAGTACTGAAAAGCATGAAGATAAGTTAGATAAGGATGGTGAAGCTGGAGAAGTCAGTTTTGATAAGTCAACCTCCAGAACTTCAAGAGCCAACCTCCTCAAGCGATACAGCTGTGTTTGGGTGATGTCAGTTGTTCAAAGTTTCAATTTCATAGTTTGACCCAGCCATTTTTGGAAACTGACCCAATTCAACATGTCATGTGGGACATACGACCCACTTTGAATAATTTATAGATTGAACACTGGCAAAAGTGTCACCTGTTTTTCTCACTTGAATCATATCTTCATATACAGTACAATCTTGGTTGTACAAATGCCAAATGCCAAATGCCAGTTACATTGTCTTTAAGAATCAAGTTTCGTTGCACTTATAAGCATGCCAGTCTTCAAATAAATGCTGAGTGCTGAATGAATAAAGTTGTGCAATACTTTTACAAAAAGCCATTTACCACCTGCAGCTTTTAATCTGCTACTAAGCATACAGTATTAAAAAAGAAAAGAGAGAAAATGCTCCCTTTAAATTGTACATGTATTTGCTGATTAGAGAGCAGGGTGTTCATTAGGCATAGGAGATCGAAGAATTCTCTGCTAACTGCCCAAAATTCTCCAGCAAATGTTCAGTAGCCTATGACTATCTTTTGTTCAGACATGGAACCTCTTTCAAAATATTCTCCTGTAACCTTACACCTTTCTCCTGCTACTAGAATTCTTAGTAAAAACCCTGAGAGAGCTGTCTTGCTTTGTCAGTTTGCCAATAATTTATTATTGCCCTTGATTTACACCTCTTGTACTGCAGATGTGCTATTTACAAAAGAGTGGTTACTATATGTGTACCCTTTTGATACATGTTCTGTATATTGTATGCGTTGAATCACAGGTACACATGGACTCTTACACACATCAGGTGTCTAAAAAACAACATCATCTACATGTTGTAACAAATCGAAAGCATAATCTTGGTATCAAAAGAAACACACCACACGCGTACAAATGGTGTACAAAGTTTCAACTTCAGAGAATTCGCTTCTCTCCCAAAAGCTTTATCAGCTAATTTATAATTTTTTTAAATTTTTTATTTCAATCTCTATCAACACTTACACAAACAAACCAAAAAAAAAATTCCAATACTTTACAATAAATTGCAGTACATTGTATTACAGTCTTGCTACAAAAGTACAATAAAATGTGAGTCTAATGTTGAGTATAACCTTCCTAGTTGAATTTAGATATCGCTAGCGAACAAACTTCTTCTCAATTAAAGGTTTCCATTTATTATAATAATATTCAGGTGAATTAACGCTTACGTAATAAGTCAAAAAATTTGTTTTTAATTGGTAGCGGGTTTTAAATTCTTCGTAACTAATGAAATCAAGATTATGATCGAAAGAAGATTGTACTATTATCAATTTTAATATCTTTGTCGTTCCATATGATCGCGTTTTTTACACCTGGCTTAGTATTATCTTGCATATCCTTAAACTCAAACCAGTATTGCAGTGTTCTCATGTAAAAGAGTGGTAACTTCTTAATGCTGATATCTTTGCTGCTGCAGTAGCACTTAGAGAGGAAGGAAAAACCTCCCAAGTATAAAGTGGCTTTATTAGGAATAACCGTCCATGCTGAATTCTCATTCAGTCTAAAGCGCTTTATCCAAATGCATTTTAAGGCTTTGTTCATTAAGGAAAAATCAATCATGTTCATTCCCCTATTCTTGCGTTCGCATTTTGTCTTCCTCTTTATTTTATTGATTACATATATGTTCTCACTTTGCTGCAGAAAACCATGTCTGATTTAATAATGTTGCAGACAATGAAAATTTGGTCTTGCTTAGTATCGAATTATGAGTTACAGCTGTGGACTTGAAAAGAAACCATCATAAAAATTAATGTTGAAAGGCTGATGTTTTGAGCACTTGCTCTTTGGTGGAGCAAATCAGCAATTCTTTGTCTCAACTCAAACTGACAAAGGGCTACATGCTTGCTCAAATGTGAGCTTCATGACCTTTCTATGATGGTAAATTGACTTAATAGCCCTATAGTGAAGAAAAAACCAATCTTTTGTGTTTCCTCCCTCACTGATGCAACTCCACAGTTCCTTTTCAAACAAACCCTGTCAATCATTTGTTGCCAACAATGGCTGAATTTGAATAATATATTGAAAGTACACTTAAAATACTTGGACAAGAGCTTGTTCCCACAGCGACAAAGTAACCTACTTAATAAGATGCTATAAGAGTTAGACCAATTCACACCTGAAGGTTTTTGAATACATAAGATCTACTTACTAAACAAGCAAAAAGCCCAGCCATCTATTACAAGACAGTATTCTTTTTACCGAACCGGAAAATTGCCTCAGTAATGCTAATGATAGATAATTGTCTGCGAAAACATCTTTAAAAATCATCAATCAAATGTATGAATGAAAAAATATTGACCAATTTTCCTACAAAACTTCAAAACCACAGTTTACTTTTCCTTACTACATAAAATTCAGACAAAATTGCGTTGAAAATAAATATGACAGGAACCATCTAAAAATAGCACTAAGCTTATAGTTATTTAAAAATTGATAAATTTTCGTGCTGGAACCAAAATCCTCACCGCAAGTAAATTATTCAGCAATTTGACGTATACAGAATAAAATTACTTGATATGCTGGCAGGTTGATTATCCCCGCAAATGCAAGATGCAGATGAAAGAAACCTTGCCTATTAAATGCTATTAAGGGATTAGTTTCCTAAAGCTATTGTCGCACGAACATTAGTGAAAAACATTTGAATACATCCCGGCAAATAAAATTCACACAACGCGAACAGCTTACAACTGACAGCCAAACCAGACTAGAACTTGTGTGTGCGCGCTGCAAATATAAAACTCTAAAGTACGGCCAGTGTTCCCTCAAAATCAGACAAATAGTATTTCTGGCGATAGATTCTTGGTGTTTTAAAAGTTATTTGTCAAACGAATACACAAGTAATGATCAACGAGGTGAAACTGACCCCTGTAAAAGTCGAGAGAGCACATTGTAACGAAAGCCACATTGAATCTGAAGCTCGTCAGATTCTTTCAATTTTCATCTAGATTTAACTCCACAAAAGTCAAAACCCCATGCGAAACGCCAGCTTCAAGCTGCAATCACCGACAGAGCAGATATACGACGCCTTTGCGACAAATAGTGATGAAAAAATATGACATCACATGAAAATAACATTGCAAACCATTCATAATACTGCACTCACTTGTTGAAGAGATGGTTATCCACGCGCATTTTGGTGAATGCTTTGAAGTCATCAGGCATCAACATAGCAGGATTATTAACATGCGATAGTTCATTGATCTGCAGAAAAGCATTTTACACACACACTCAGTGTTGCTATCCAAATTTTACATTCACAAAAGTGCAAAATTCATGCTTACCGAATGGCTCACTCCCCACATCAACACGCTAAGCAGAGGATTATTTGAGCGAAAGACTTTCACTTTTTGGCTCATCACTCGGAAATTTTTCTTCTTTTTCGTCTTTGCAAGGCCAGACATCTTTGAAAAGTGTGTTTACGCAATCTACAAAGGCCTCTTTTCCGTCTAAATCATAATGAAAATGATAAAAACCGCACATACACACCACTGCTTGCCTCGATCGGACAATAAATTCCCACCTGATTTGACACTTCCCGTGATGCAAAGCGATACTGCAGGAAATAAAAACTATGTGGGGAAGGGGTGGGGCGACATAAACGTCCTAGTTTCCTGGTTTTTACCTTTGTTGCTTCGGCCAAGTTTAAAAGCAAAATTTAGCTTATTTTCAGCAGAATGCGAATTGTAAGATCCAAGAAACCACAACTGATTGGCTGAGGAGACCAGCCTCTTCCAGGCCGTTTTTTCTCCAGCCTACAAAACTAAAACAGGGTAAATTATAAGCTACGCAAAGAAAAATCCTTACGTGTTTCCACGCGTCACATTAGCGAACTTAATCCTGCAAAATAACAAAATTATAACACCGACGTTTCGTTTCAGTTGCTGCCCTTTTCCTTGGATTCTTTTACAACTAACTGAGGAAAAACGTGAAAGTATTTAATGTTTTAATTTGACCTGATGGCCTTATACAGTATTATGTTTTCACGTCTTTTTTTATGAACCATAGACCTTTAAAAGAAATTTTTGTTTCGTTTTTTTTTGCTCTTTTTACCCTGTTTGGAGAAAGCAAGGAAAATATTTAGAAAGGTAAAAATACATGACCGTGATATGAGAATCTATTATTTATTTTCGAGAAGTCGAGAAAATTGGTAGACGCCGGTTGCTTATTCGAGCAAATAAGGAAGCAGGAAATATTTAGGGCCTTGAATGAATGTAGGGATGTGAGAATTACGTAGGTCAAGCCTGATTTCAAAAGATTGCCTTACACGACTGAAAGAAGATTTGAATCTCCAGGTTTTACGCTAAAAATTCCTTTTCGCTGCATAAAAATCTGGGTGTAAAATCCCGGGGGGCGGGTACTTCCTTGGATGGGGGGGTTGCAGTTTCGTTAGAGTTACTAGAATAGGATTGCTGATTTTCGCGACTTGGAGATCAGAAAATTCAGGAAGGTACGGATTTAAAAATGGGAAGACTTGGCTTCATTAAGTTTAAACAATTAATGTGTCAATTCATTTCCGAATGACCTAGTAAATAGGCTTAAGACAGATGCATATAGAAAGTTACTAAGTTGGGACCGCGAAAATTACATTTTCCCAAGATAGGATCTATATCTGGCCACAGAATAGACTATAATGGGGTAGGGAGTTCTGAGAGCGGCCAGCGACACATACCCAGCAAAAATTAACCCAAGTAGCCCCTCCCCCCCCCGGGTAAAATGCGTGAAAAGAAGGGTATTCAATGAAGGACCTCTGAGCTGGTTGGTGTTAATGGTCTCATCAAAAATAAAGACACAATTGTCTGGGGATTATTGCACAGTAGATCTAAACCCATGGCTATCAAACAGAACATGCAGCTTCAGTGGCTTTAAATCTGGCTCGAGAGAGGGTTATCTGAAAGTGGCAAACTGTCTTGTAATGTAATGTCGGAGTAGAATCGTCTGAAGCACAGTCTGCGATACTGCCGACACAAACAGATCGTAAGCCTGTGTTTGGAACCTTTCCTCACCATCATCCTCATCCTCATTATCATTATTATTTTTATTTGTTTTATTTTTTAAAAAATCCTACTACTAGTATCTTGAAAATCGGATAGGTTTTTGAGCCACTTTTTTCTCCGCTTGAACCGTAGCCAGTAACAGAGAATAACTGGGAGCAAAGAATGGAAGTATGGAACTCTACGGAACCTTTCGGAACCTGATGAGGATTGGCATTTGGTCACCAAGTCCTCCGGTCGAACCGCTCCCGTATGTGAACAACTTGGACCAGTTTTTAGACTACGAGTAGTCCCTATTTTTCCTTAGGGATAGTGGAGCGAGCGAAACGCGAGCGCGCGTGAAAATTACTCCACGCGAGAAAGGCGAGACGCGGTAATTTTCACGCCCGCTCGCGTTTCGCTCGCTCTACTATCTCTGAGGAAAAATGGGGGACTACTCGTAGTCTAACCAGTTCTGGGCCGGCTGTTCATATTAGGTTGGAGTATTTTTCATGTTGACACGAAAGGTTATCCTGTATAATTTAGACATAGCCTAAGAAAAAGGGAAATGTGACGTTTAACAGGTGGCCCGTCCGTGCGATAGTTAGTTACGGCACAAAAACAATCCGTTTCCTGGAGGACGGAGAAAAAACCTTTTTAAAGGAGAATAATTATATTGCAAAAGACTTAGGGAGACACCTGTCCTGTTTTATTATTAAACTGTACATGGCGTATCAGAAACTGTACATACATTTATACATATTTACATACACTTTATTGAGCATCCCTAAAAGAGCTTTTCAGCACCAATATAAAAATAAATTAAACGGATGAATAAATAAATCAATCAATTATAATTAATCAATTTAAAAAACTATGTACAACAATGATTAAATAGTAACTATGTACAAAAGTCATCATCTAACCTAGTTCATGTTACTAATCAGTTCATCAATTCGACGTCTCTTAAAAACTTTAGTATTTATGATTTCCCTTAAGTCTTTACTTAAATTATTCCATATTTTCTCACCACGAATAATAAAAAGCGCGTCGGCCAGCATTGATTCTACAAGATGGAATATTGACGCTATCTCTATGTCTTGTCAATCATGGATAATAGCTCGAGTTTAAAATTTAGCTGACAAGTGGCTAGGTGACAGACCTTTGAGACATTTATGCATCATAACTGCATTATCATTGACCATAAGTCTTTGTCTTTGTCCAGGCTTTTTCTCTTGGTGTTCTGGCCCTGAGGAAGGCTAATTTTGTTAGCAGAAATATTGGCTTATAATAAATCAGCCCTTTGCCGTAGTGCCAGCCCTGCATTCAGTTTTGATTTCTTTGTAATGTCTAATAAGAATGAGTGGAACTCTTCCTTTCCAAGGCCTTCAGTTGACCGGACTGCTGACAAATGTATACAGAGAGAGCGAGAGAGAGGGAGCGCCATAGAATCCCGGGGGGGGGGGGGGGGTAAATACCCCGGGTTTTAAAGTACGGGGGTGAGCGAAGGGTTTTTGGGGGGTTCAAATTTTTTTTTCCGGGAAATTTTTTTTTTTTTGGGGGGGTGGGTGGGGGGGGGGGGGGGGGGGAAAAGGGGGTGCGTTGTTTTGGAGGCTGTGTTTATGGTGTATTTTTTTGT